CTCCAAGTTAATTGCATACAACTCTTCAGAACAATAAAAAAAACTGAGAGATTTGCTCATTGTGAAGTAGTCTTATTCAAACTGAAAGAGGAAACCACGCAAAACCTTATGTCTTGTTTTTGTTTTTGTGCTTTTTTATCATGGTACCAAAGCTGTAAAGATTCAGCTTGATCTTACTTCACCGTCGAGAAACGAAAGAAGACTTCTGTTTTTTTGGGTGTGAAGCAGTTTCAAACCAAAATACCCTACAAGCATTACCTCTAGAACTTGTCTACTCTTGAATTAGTGACATCGATTAGCTTCTCCTTGCTGCATTATGAGCAACGAGGTCAAGAATGATGCCTTGCATGCTTCTATGGGGAAGCCCCTCACTTCGGATGTCAACTCTGTATATTTTATACCTCAATCAGATTTACAACACGTGGGCGATCTCTTGATGACAATAATTATGGTGAATGGGTCATCGACATGACTTATTCTCCCCTAGTTAAGAAAAGGCTAGGATTTGTTGATGGGACTGTTATTCGTCCGATTGCTGCTCGCGAACTAGATGCCTGATTGTGTTGTGATGCGACCATTGACTCGCTACGACACAACACCAAACTGCAACCAAGTATAACTGCAGATTGGAAATGCATAATAGTGGTTTAGTTTAAATTATCGACCCGGGCTCTAGATCTACTGCCTAGTCCGTGAACTTCTATTATCTAGCGGGACTAAGTGAGTGAAGTGATTTCAAAGCAAAAGAAATTAAAAGCAAGTAATGTTCTGGTTCTTTTCAGGTGCTAAAGGTCATTTAGGTATGGTTCCCCCTAGTGTGCAGCTAGTTCAGGTTATACGTTCCCAATTTACTCAGATTGATAGACAAACCGCAGAAAGTTCTTACTAGTCTGGGCTCTCGACTAAAGTTATCCAGATCCTCTCGGTTCGAATACCCGGTGGGTGACTAACCTCCACCGGCATACACTGAACGAGGTTAATCACAAGAAAACTTCCTCTACTAGTGCTTGTTCCAGTACGGAGCAGTAAATCGACTTCTCGACTAAAGCAGTCGATTCACCACTTTCAATTCAAGGTTGCTCTTTTAACCTATGCAGAGACTATCATTCTAGGTTAAAGCGGGATTTACACAGGTTTGATTAGGACTCATGCAATTCTAATTAATTCCTCAACTGAATTTATCCAACCAGTCATTCGCAAATGGGGTTCATACAATCATTCCCAACATACACAGCTAGGGTTCTTCATACCCAGATGAAATGGAAAATTACTCCATGGAGAGATTTGAGAACGTCGTGCTCGAAGAAGACATCATCAAAACGACAATGGGGATCTGCTCCTGGTGGCTAATAGGTACTCCGAGGTTGAGGAATCGAGCTCCAAAGTCTTCAAATCGCTCCAATCCTTTCCCAAGGGTTTTTCTTCGTCACTCTCTCTAGGGTTATTTTCTGCCTTTAGACTCAAAAAATCCGGATCCTTTGCCTCTTGCCCGAGCAGCCCTCTTATAAGCTGAGAATCTGCATGTTAAAATTAGTTACGGTCATAACTTGGCTTGCCCGCACGTAACTCTCCATCAAACGACGTCGTTACTGCACTCTGTAAACCAAGAGTTATGGCTTCTTATTAGGAGGAGTTACAGCCTCAACCGTAACTTGAGAGGTGAGGCCGTAACTCCAAAAACGTCCCTGGAATTAGTGTCGTCGCTACCCAAGAGTTACGGTCTAGACCGTAACTTTGAAGGTCTGACCGTAACTCCGAAGAGCTCTCTGGAAACTTGGCACTTCTACTCTGAGAAGTTACGGGCTCTTGGGACAAGTTACAGTTGCGACAGTAACTCCCAAGGCTGGCCCGTAACACCTCCCAGCTTTATGCCCGTTAGCACCAAATCGTCCCAAAACTCGCTCTTTCGCCCCCCCCCCTCCCCCGTTTACATACTAGGACCTGAAACACCATAAACCGACACGACCTAGCGTAAAACGGGCCATGATAACGAGAATATAAGCTCAAACTATCAAGAAATGGTGGGAAAAACATGTTCGAATATAGCGTTATCAACCATTAAGGGTTGGCTGAAGGCTTCTATGACACCTGAAGTTCGATGTACCATCCGCTTTGCTAAAACGACTAAGCAGATCTAGGATGATCACACAAGATTTGGGCAAGCGAGCATACCACGACATTACAAGTTATGCCGGTTGATCAGTTTACTTGCACATGCCAAACTCATTGTTTCTGCTTATTACACAAAACTCTGCAGTCTATGGGAGGAGGGCCAGCAAATTTCCCCAACTCCTGCGTGTACCTGCGGTCAATGCACGTGCAACCTGGAGAAACAAACTCGTGATCGGGATGAAAGAATCAAGCTATTCAACTTTTTAATGGGGCTAGACGATGTCTTCTCCATCGTGAGGTCTCAAGTCTTGTCAATGAAGTCATCTCGTCGATTACCAAGGCTTACAATATGCTCTCCATCGGCGAGTGACACTCCAAAACACAACACCAATCTGCGACCAAGTGTAATCGCAGACCGGGAATGCAGTAAAGTGGCAAGTTATATTATCAACTCGGGGTCTAGATCTACTGCTTACTCAGTGATTATCTATTATCTAGCCAACTAAGTTAAGTGTTTGTTGTTTAAAGCAAAAGCAGAAAGAAAATAGGAATTGGTACGGTTTTATCAAGCAAAGAAGAGTCACTCGGGAATGAGTCCCCCTAGCTCCTTAGTTAGGTTTCAATTGTAATTTCCCTGGGTTGATTTACTGTTGATTAGACTGCGGAAGATCCGACAGTAGCTTGGAATCTCTTAAGCTGACCAAGCCCTCTCAGACTAACTACCCGGCAGACGCCAATCTCCTACTACCGAATGATGAGGCTCTAACAACCTAATCAGATTCTATCTATCTCAGGTTGCAGCAGAAATCAGGAAAAGCTGATCAGACTTCAATTGACTCAATAAACATGCATCATTCGATTAAAATCAAGCAGTAATATCATCCCAAGTCATTACAATCAAATCCCTAACACATAGAACTAGGGTTCTTCATACCCAAGTGAGAGAAGGGTTCTACTCCATAGAGGGAGAGAGGGAAACAGAATACAGAGTAGTCATACTCATAAATATGAGGAAAATCTGCTCTGGGATGATGATTTCCACTCCTATGACGATCTCCAAGCTTGATTTGATGAAACCCAGCTCCAAGATAGCTTCTAGGATGTGTTCTTCGTACTTTCTCTCTCTAGGGTTCTATTTTTGCTCTCAAAACTCGATTCTCTCACTTGCAGCCCGAAATTGGGTTAAAACCAGGAATTCCCGACTCACACGGGCAGGGTCACACGGCCGTGTGGCATACCCAGTTACCCGTGTGAGGCCAAAACGCCGCGTATCGATTAATTGGACTTCAGTCAACCTACACGGCCAGGGTCACACGGCCGTGTGGATCACCCTGCCTGGCCGTGTGAAGCCTCGCAGAATTCCACACGACCAAAGTGGTCTTATGCACGGCCGTGTGGATTCTTCTTGTGCCCGTGTTAGTGCTCGCACAATTCCACACGGCCAAATTGGTCACTGGCACGGCCGTGTGGGTCTTGTGCCTACCCGTGTGGCTTCCTTTGTGACTTGCCTCGCGTCCGATCTTCGCCCAATCGACCCCGAACTCGCTCCTAAACCTTTATTCACTTGCTAGGACCTGAAATATCAAAAACAAGCACAACCTAGCGTGAAATCGGCCTAATACACGAGAATCAACACCTCAAACGGCTCCAGAATAGGGGTAAAAACATGTGCAATTAACGGCTTATCAGCGAGCAGTAGAGGAAAATTGCCACTCATCGTAAGCTCTAAGTTGATGCGACTGCTTTTGCCGCCTCTCAATGGGGTGGTAAGCCCGTTGAAAACTCTGATAAGGGGGGCTCCGACTCACATTTTCTTTGTTGTTCGCACTGCCAAAAGTTTGGGCATACAAAAGAACGATGCTTCAAGCTTATTGGGTATCAACCTGGGTATACAGATTTTAGAGGAAAAGGCTCTGGGAATTAAGTTTGTCGCCAAGATAATCGTGGTCGCAATGGCCCAAACGACCATAAACAATTAAACCATTGAAGGCTTTCCAAGGAAGGGAGGATGATGTCACCACCCTCTGTGAACATATGAAGGCAAGGAGCTGACACAACAAATTAAGAAAGCATCAATGGAGTCAAAGCATGGACCAATTGACATCTATGTTCTTTTGTGAAGCATGTGAAGAAGAAGGCCACAAAGGTGTTGACTGTTATAGCCATGGAGGTCAAGGACATGCTGATGTCAACAATATTAATCAAGCCTACCAATTGAGACCTTAACAAGAAAGCTATCCTCCATATCAAAGATTCAACCAACCTCTCATACCTTATGGTCAATGGCCTACCCAAGGAGGAAAAAATCTCGAGGACTACCCTCAGCATCACCTCTAATACACCTTATGAAGCACAATGGCAGAAGACTTCCTTCCTACCGGAGCAGGGTGTAAAAGCCACACCCAAAACCCATAACGCGAAGGAAAGACTTTTAATAATCAATAATCACTAAGGAGTAAGTAATCCAATGGGATGACTTGGACAACTTAGAATCAGAATTGTCTGTAACTCGAACAACTAACCCCATTGATCTATAACTCAATTGAACCAATGACTCGAGTAAACCATAATTCAGTTAACTTGCTTTGATATCCTAGCTAATTAAATCATAACTCATATGATACATAGCCCAGTTAAATAAAACTGGATTGACACATATGTAGTGATTGCAATTTAAACCTGTCCTGCTGGATAATACTCGACCTTTTATAGCTGGGACGAGGCATCTGCCCCATCTTTGACCAGACTTACCTCGATTTCCTCGAGTATTTATTTGTATTTCTCAATTTTTTTCCTTCAAATATATTTTGACCAAATAAAACTTATGAACAAGTACAATCCTCGATCTTTCAACTATTACTTTATATTCTCTATTTTACATTAATGATATTTTTTTATTTATTTTATTATAATTTGTATTTGATATAGGAATATGAGTATTGGATACCCACCGGCCACTACCCTCTACCCACCCTTCCAGTCTCCTTGCCATCGCTACACTTCTGTCGTCTAAATTCTCAATCGGCTTCACTAAAAAAAAATAATAATAATAAAAAAAACCCCCCAAAAGAATAGTATGTTTGGATTTTGTTTTGATTTTCACTTTGACACTAATCCCGAGCTTCCTGCCTTGATCAGCTACCAATCAATCATCTTCACCGGGTCAACAAACAGTTTTTCATGCGAGCAACACCTTCCAGAAAATTCAACGCCGATGCCTGTTTACAGCGGCGCGTAAGGTAAGGATAGGACATAACCAAAACCCAAGCGAGTTGGAAGTACTCCGGCTCCGTTGTCCGTCCTCGTAAATAGATCAGATGTTGGTAGTTTGTGTTCTTTGCTATCCTTGCTTTAAGTTGCAATCAGTAAAAGGCCAAAAGCTGTTCGGGTTATAACTTGTGAGCTTCACAGTTCTCTGGGTATCTTTTTGCTAGCCATGGAAGGCTCGTGAGCTTTTTGAGCTGACGAATCTTGAATTGTGATCGCAAAACGTATTCCGGATCAAAAGCATAAGAATCATACGAAGGCAAATCCCAAGATGAAATGAGAAATGCCCGAAAACTTTTTTACTAAAGCTTGATTCAGTATATACACACTTCAGAACCAACTCGATCTATCAGCCTGTACAATTTTCGCATCCACAACCCCTCGGCGAGTCGCCGACTCACTTTCCGAGTTGGGGTCAACGCCTCCTTCGAGTCGCCGTCGTCGGATCTATTTGAGCTCACAACTCAAATTAGGTACTGAAGCCCCGGCGGCGACATATAGTCTGTCTTGATCCACATCCGGCCGGGAACTCCCTGCCGCCTCCAGCAACGGACTTTTTCACCCCTGGCCCCAGCAGTTGAGGTACATGACTCGTCTGATTGACTCGTCGCTCTGCCTCACGCTCTCGTCCGCGTCGCGGCTTCCCGCGACTCCGGCCCGATCGGATACGACCGCGCTGGAAAGCGGGCGGAGATCTGCGGCATCGCCGGATCCGGAGAAGAAGCGCCTCTTTCCGTGGTGGAGGGACTGGAGGCCTGATTTCCATTTGGTTCCCTGGTCGGCGTGGGGGGCCTGTACGACGGCGACGGTGGCGGCCATCCAAACTCTGTTCAGGTGATTCATTTTTGGGATTTGTTTCCGGAAGATTCTCGGCAAGGTGAAGACGGAATTCGAATTGCTTTTCTGTTTTGGTAGCAATGGATTTCTCTTTTTTTTTTGTGAGTGAGTTGGAGACTTGGAGTGAAGAAGGAAGTGGGGAAGGCGGAGCGAGTATTTATAGAAGGGGAGCGGGTTCGGGTAAAACCCGGAACTGGGGCAGCTGCCTGCTTGTTAGAAGGCGGTTTATCAGGAGGAGCACGGGAGCCGCTGCAGGGCGCGGCTATCTATGTCGTTTTGGCTTCTTTTGGGAGGTTTTGGATTTTACTTTACTGTGGGTGGATGGGCGTCGACTCTCGAACGACCGGAGCTGTTTCTTATCGTCAATTTATCGTACGATAAATTGGAACTCTGGAATATGGGTTCAATGGGTAATAACAAGTCATGAGTAGTATGCGCAAAGTTCATGTATAGTGAAGCATGAATCCCAAAGCAATGGAGGTTGAGTTAATAACTCTTAATGAGATCTATACCCTAAGTGGGGTGGAGTACTTTACTTTGGGGGTACTCCTGATAGACTCACCTATGTGAATATGGGAGTGGGGCCGCTCCTTATGGAACTTTGGAGGCACAAAGTTGCTAGAGCGTTCACTAAACCAGGATAATGTGCATGGCCATAAACACATGGGCTAAGAAGAGAACACAACTCAATGAAAAGATCCAGTGTGCTACACTGTCTGAGATAGGGTTCAAGACTACGAGTCACCCTTATGAAATCGGAAGTGTAACCACTACGCTAAGGTTCAAATCTTCGCGATACCTTAGCTTATGCCCGATCTTATGGAACTGTTGATGCTCAGAGATAGTTTCAAAACTATTCAAGTGGGGGGATTGTTGGAAATGAATGAATAGCTTTGAAAGCTATAGAGTCTCAAGTGGAAAAACTACCACATTGGTTGTTTTACTTGGTGAAATGTGTATAAAGATAGGAGCCTCTCTCCTAAGGGCATGCCCCTTGGGGTGACCCACTTTTGTGGGAGAGGGAGGACCTAACGGACTACCAAACACACACGCGCGTCGACCGTCTGGTCGGATGGTTGGTTGGTTGGTTCACTTGAGACTATATATTTTTTGAAGAAATTATGAACGAAATTAATTATCTAATAATTAATTATTAATCGGTTGTTCTGAGGAATATTTGAAGGATAATCACGTAGGATTTATCTTAACCGACGGTTTTTAATTAAGGAAGTAATTATCTTCTTTAATTAATCCGACTTATTGCCCAAGCTAGAGGGTATATTCCTCGGGGGGTCGGCTCCTATAAATAGCCGCCTACCCAGCCCCTCTAAACACACCACAATGAGCATAAACACAATAGAGAGAGTGTTTAGAGAGCTCCAGTTTTCGCACAAAACCGCGAGTACAGAGAGGAGCTGTTTTATCCTGGAGACGACCGATTGATAGTCTGTCGTGCGCATCAAGGGCAGTGCCGCGAACGTCTTAAAGAGAGCGACATAGTCCGCGACTCAGCTCCAGATTCGGTAACCTCGTTCTTGTTATTGTTCCGTTCCTAACAAGAAGTTCCAAGGGTATTCATCAATGTCAATCAACATACTCTTTGATTTGTTGGATGAAATTAGTCATTTGAGAGTCTTTATATCTTTTGTTTTTAAAAATAGGATTGGGAATAATAAATACTATCATTTATAATAGATTAAACTTATAAATATATGTTTATGATAATACCATCATAATACATCAAGTTAATTATTTAACCATAGAAAAAAATCAAATTGTTGGCCTCGCTAATATGTAAATGACACAAGTGATGGTTTGTAAGAATGGGATGAGAGATGAGACGAGATTCTGACGAGAAGTAGGAGGAGATAGAAACTTGGAAGGATGTGATTGTGATGCAGGAAGGTAGGAAGAAACAGGTGGCGGCCTTATCTACAAGCTTGCTTTATGACTCATCTCACCCAACCAATCAGCTGCCGATTTTGGAACCCATCCTCTCTCTCTTTTTTTTTTTTTTTGCAATTTGATGGCCCCCCACTCTGCAATTTCAATTTCTTTTCTCTATTTTTCTTCTATTATTTTGTTTGTAAGTGGAAATTGATATGATTGTCCTTTTGGTTAAAAAAATGACAAAATACGAATTTGGAGGGTAGCGTAGGCGGGTTCATTCAGTCTTTTACCCTTTTGCAGAGAGCTCCCACTCCCCTTCACGTGCAAGAGGGACACTTGTTGAGATATGGACCCCTGAGAGTGTCCCGATTCCTCCACGGCTGTCCTCCAATCTATTATTCCCTCTACTTATTTCTTTACATATAGAAAAGGGGTTAATTGCAAGGATGGTCATTGAGTTTACTAAAACCGTTCATGTTTGGTCACTGCAAATATTTAATTTTATTCATGGTCACTATGATTAGTTCAATGGTTCAAATTTGGTCACTCTCCGTTAATTTTTGCTAATGTGGCAGTCAACTATTATAGTTGACCGTTAAATGAGTGTCGTGGCCATTAAAAAAATAAAAAAAATAAAAAAATTTAAATATTTACAATTTCCACCTCATTTTTACAACTATTAAAAAAATAAAACTTACCTCCACCGTCTATGCCCCGTACGTGAAACATCTTTGTGGAGCTTCGCCTCACTCGTGCCTGTGTTTTTTCTGATTTTTTTCATTTTCCCATTGTTCAGAATCCGAGTGTCGGGCGGCCGCGTCACGATGGGAATGATCCGATTCGGTGCCACGAGGAAAAAACAGAGATCCAACGAAACCGATGGGGGGCCGGATCAACTTTATATGCTTTAAAATTAAAGAGCTTCTGGATCCAGGCAATACCTCTTCGTCTATCTCTCTTCTCCATCTCTCTCCACATCTACCTTTGACTACCTCAAATTACTAGCTTGTTTCTTTCTTCGCATCTTATAGGAATAGTTATAGGATGAGGGGGAAATGATGGGCGACCAAGGCCAAGGCGGAGGAGGGAGTGGTGTTGGACTTGGAGGGGGATCATCGCTGGTGATGAGAGATTACAGGAAAGGGAACTGGACGGTGAGCGAGACGATGGTGCTGATCGAAGCCAAGCGGATGGACGAGGAGAGGAGAACCAAGAGAGGCGGCGGGAACAAGCCGGCGGAGCTGGAAAAGATCGGCCATATGGTTCAGATTGATCGCAAAGTCGCTTCAGCTAACGTCGTGAAAAACTACTTCATCGGTAAGACGACGATAAAAAAAAGCATAGAAAGCTGATCCGGCCCCCAATCGGTTTCGTTGGATCTCTGTAACGCCGGTACTCTGCATCCGCAGCCTTCAAAAACAGAGCAAGCAGTAGTATTCCAACCACCAAAACCGGACTCTGTTTTTTCCTCGTGGCACCGATTCGGATCATTCCCATTGTGACGCTGCCGCCCGACACTCGGATTCTGAACAATGGGAAAATGAAAGAAATCAGAAAAAACACAGGCACGAGTGAGGCGAAGCTCCACAAAGATGTTTCACGTACAGGGCGTAGACGGCGGAGTGCGGAGGTAAGTTTTATTTTTATTTTTTAATAGTTGTAAAATGAGGTGGAAATTGTAAATATTTATTTTTTTTATTTTTTTAATGGTCACGTCACTCATTTAACGGTCAACTATAATAGTTGACTGCCACATCAGCAAAAACTAACGGAGACTAACGGAGAGTGACCAAACTTTAACCATTGAACTAATCTTAGTGACCATAAATGGAATTAAATATTTTCAGTGACCAAACATGAACGGTTTTAGTAAACCCAGTGACCATCCTTGCAATTAACCCTATAGAAAAGTGACGAATTTTGCGTCTCCGAATTTGGTTACATAACTTAAAAACCTAGGGTTTCATTGTGTGATGATAAAATAAATGATAAAAGGGGGTTTCATAGTGTGTAAATAGGTGACGATGCAAGTGTATTTGAAAAAACAAAAAACAAAAAAAAATCTCAAAATTTACTAGTTTTATAATATATTTTCAACCTACTCATGTTTTGATCAGATCGCTCGAGTCATATATAGTGATTAAAAGTGTTGAGGACGGATCGTTGCAAGGGGGAGCAATGACGGGTGATGGCTGGTTTGGCCGTATTGTTTTAGCAATCAAAGGGGAGCATGGGGAGTAGAGGGATGTAGGGATGACGAAATAATCCATCACCACGTACAACCAACCGAACTCAGAAACAATTTAATTCGGGAAAATTCAATCGATATTATATTTGGTGGGTTTTACCTAAATCCAACAAAAAATGATAATGTAATTGTGGTCTTTGTATTTTAAGTATGTGCAGCGAACCCATGTAAAACCGTGTCACAAATATGTTATAGAATCATGCATTTTAACACTTTTTTATTCCTATCACTAAAATATTATAATTACATTTTAGACCTAAACTCTTTATTATTTTCTCTCAGATTTACAATGAATGTGACAAAAAAGACTTTATTTTGCATCGTCATTCGAAGAAGTTTCTAAAATCGCGAATCCAAACTCTATATAAAAATCGGCCCCATCCAAACCATCATAGAGGTGGGGGCATGGGCACCGACGACTTAGGATAGGGTCAGTATCCAATGCTTACTGACCTATGAGTAACTAAATCTGGACCTTTAGATCTAGGTGGGTCCAGAAAATTCAGATCTAAGGGTTGTCAATTAAAAGCATTTTATTTTCCCTAATTTTCTTAATAGGCACTTATCTTTTTCGTTCTAACTCGGATTTCAAAATTTTTTTTAGCACAGATGGAACGAGTTCGTTGTGCTCTACAAAATGAGATCAATTTTCAATATATTTCGCGAAACTTTTTTTTAACAATTACATACCATATGGTAACTTTTTCGTTCTTAAGTCGTTTATGAAAACGTTTGCTCAGAACGAACGAGTTCATCATGATCTATTGGATCTATAAATTTCTGGGTGAAAAAATAATGGATAAAAAATTACCATACTTTACCACTATGATATGTGGGTGGTAACTTGTAGTAAACAATTATGAAAGTTGTAAATGACAGTTAGTATACTCTTACTATCATGTATTCAACCTTCTTACCATATTGGTATGTTCATATCATCATGGTACGCTTTCTTACCATATGGTATGATATGATCCTAATTCGAGAATCCTCCCAAATCGGACAAAAAACCAGAGTTGCACACGTCGAACTTTTTAGGGATTTTCTCCTTCCTTGAATAACACGAAAATAAAGATACTTGCGGAATCGATCAAACAAATCTGAACTCGTGAGAAGGGCCAGAAGGTATATGAAACCTTCCAAACAATCTCGAACCCGTGGAAGAGGCCAACCGATATCGTCGATGCTCGCCACAACTAGATGCGTTCTCTAGTTGATAAGAGACCACTCAAACCTCCCGAATCCTCAAAGGAGCGAATAAGCAAAACGTTCACTTGAACTTGTAAACACTTGTATTTGATTTCTGAAACTTGAATGAAAAATACATTGGTTGGACTCCTATTTATAGACCCACGAATCTAAACACAAAACAACTAAGGAAAACCAAATCCTACTTGAAAAAGGAAAACAAAAACCTTAACAAACAAGGGAAACAAAAACCTCAACAAACAAGGAAAAGACTAAGTCAACAACTACCCTTGAATCTAGCCTTCAAATCCGCCCTCCCCCCCCCCCCCCCCCCCCCCCTGTGTTCACACTTGAATTCCTTTCACACCTTGTGTTCACACCATGATCTTTATCCATTGTTGATTCCATTCACACCTTGAGACTCCTTCTCCATGGCCGACCCTCCTTCCCTCCCTTTGAGCCCAATTTCGTGATCCACATAGCTCAATAGTGTGATGGACTTTGCTTCTAGCAAATTCAAGCTTAAGCCCTCCAACTCCTTAGCCAAATAGCTTGCAATTTGATCCCGAAAAGCCGTAGCCCCAGCTCGAGTCATTTTCCCTTCAACTTGAGTGTGTTTGGTTTTGATGACCTCATCAGTCCCTCCCTCTTGATAAGGATTTTCCCTCAAATCCGAATTATCATCCAGAAATGGTGCAAGATCAGAAACGTTGAAGGTTGCACTTATGCAGTATTCTCCTGGTAGATCAAGCTTGTACGCATTCGTTCCAACCTTCGAAATGATTTGAAAGGGACCTTCACTTCTGGGCAACGACTTGGATCTCCTTTGATGTGAGAACGTTTCCTTCCTCATATGCACCCACACCCAATCTCCTGCTTCAAAATTTCGAGCCTTTCTATGCTTGTTGACGTTCTTCAAGATCTGCTCTGTCCTTCTTTCAATATTTAGCCGAGCCTTCTCATGGAGATTCTTCACATACTCCGCTTTCTTAGCTCCATCCATGTTTACTTGCTCCTTCAAAGGTAAAGGTGTCAAATCCAATGGGGTAAGAGGATTGAACCCATACACAATCTCGAATGGAGAATACTTTGTTGTCGAATGCACGGCTCTATTGTAAGCGAACTCCACGTGAGGTAGACAGTCCTCCCATGTCTTGATGTTGCTCTTGATGATGGCTCTAAGCATTTGAGATAGAGTACTATTCACCACTTCAATTTGCCCATCCGTTTGAGGGTGGCAAGTAGTCGAAAACAAGAGCTTCGTTCCAAGCTTGCTCCACAACGTCTTCCAAAAGTAGCTCAAGAACTTAGCATCTTGATCAGAAACAATGGTGCGTGGCATCCCATGTAGTCGCACCACCTCTTTGAAGAACAAATCCGCCACATTAACCGCATCGTCAGTTTTATGGCATGGAATGAAATGTGCCATCTTTGAGAATCGATCCACCACCACAAAGATAGAATCTCGACCTCTCTTCGTCCTTGGCAGCCCCAATACGAAGTCCATAGATATATCAACCCACGGTAACGAGGGAATGGGTAGTGGAGTGTACAATCCAGACAATTGCACCTTCGATTTAGCTTGCTTGCACTCTACACATCTAGCACATAAGCTCTCCACATCGCTTTTCATATGTGGCCAATAGAAATGCTCTTGTAAGCAACTCAAAGTCTTGGCTACACCAAAGTGTGCCATCAATCCTCCTCCATGAGCTTCTCGTAGTAGCAATTCTCGAAGTGAAGTACGTGGTATGCAAAGTTGGTTACCACGAAACAAGTAGCCCTCATGTCGATAGTACTTCCCTTCTCCATGCTTCTCACAAAGCTTGTAAATCTCTCGAAAATCAGAATCCTCCTCATAGATGCTCTTGATTTGCTTGAATCCAAGGTATCTTGCATCCATGGTAGTGATCAACGTGTATCTTCGCGATAATGCATCAGCAACTACGTTCTCCTTGCCTTGCTTGTACTTGATCACATAAGGAAATGATTCAATGAACTCCACCCAACGAGCATGCCTCTTGTTCAACTTGTGTTGGGCCTTCAAATACTTGAGAGACTCATGATCAGTATGTATGACGAATTCCTTTGGCCACAAGTAGTGTTGCCAAGTCTCCAAAGCTCGAACAAGCGCATAAAGCTCTTTATCATAAGTCGGTAATTAAGCGTAGCTCCGCTCAACTTCTCGTTGAAATATGCAATGGGCCTCTTCTCTTGCATCAATACAGCGCCAATTCCCAATCCCGATGCATCACACTCCACTTCGAACATCTTGTTAAAATCTTGTAGCATCAGAACAGGAGCATGAGTAAGCTTGTACTTGAGGAGCTCGAATGCATTCTCTTGCTCTTCTCCCCAATAAACGCCACATTCTTCTTGATAATTAAGGTCAATGGTGCCGCAATGGTGCTGAAGTTGGGCACAAATCATCGATAAAAGCCAGCCAATCCATGAAAGCTTCTTACTTCACTCATGTTGGTAGGAGTAGGCCATGCTTGAATCGCTTTTACTTTCTCTTCATCGACTTCAACTCCATTAACACTCACGACAAAACCCAGAAACACCACGCTTGAGGTGCAAAATGTACACTTCTTGAGGTTGGCATAGAGTTTCTCCTTCCTCAAAGTCTTCAACACGTCCCTCAAGTGCTCAAGGTGCTCTTCCATGCTCTTTGAGTAGATCAGAATGTCATCAAAGTAGACCACCACGAATTTGCCAATGAATGCTCTCAACACATGATTCATCAGCCTCATAAACGTACTTGGAGAATTTGTTAAGCCGAATGGCATCACCATCCATTCATAGAGACCATGCTTTGTTTTGAATGTTGTCTTCCACTCGTCTCCTTCCTTCATGCGAATTTGGTGATAACCAGACCTTAGATCAATCTTTGAGAACATGTTAGACCCATGTAACTCATCAAGCATGTCATCTAATCGAGGAATAGGATGATGATACTTAATGGTTATTTGGTTGACTGCTCGGCAATCAACACACATCCTCCACGTATGGTCTTTCTTAGGCACGAGGATGACAGGAACCGCACAAGGACTCATGCTTTCACGAACATGTCCTTTCTCCATAAGCTCATTAATTTGCCTTTGCAACTCCTTTGTCTCCTCT